TAAAGTCAAGCCCAACAGCTGTAACTACACTGCAGCTCCTTCCTTCTTCTTCCTACTAGTGTATTCCCATAAGTGCAGGGTCCACTTTTCGTATCATTGAACACCACTTTGCATGGTCAGCTGCAGGGTGCAGGCCCATGGGTTGCATGTCTTTGTTGATGGTGTCTTGGCATCTCTATTATGGGTGCCTGAGAGGTCACTAGCCATCAACTTCTACTTGGTAGGCAGTCTTGACAATGGTGGAAGGTGCTGCTCTCAGGACATGTCCATATCAGCAGAGCTGTCCTTCTCTCATCTTCTCTATAATTGGTGCCACACCAAAATGTTGTCAAACAGTGTCATTTCTGATGGGGTCAAGAAGGGAGATGCCCGATATCCAACACAGCATTTGCATTTCTGTGGCATGGAGATAGCTTTTGATCCCTGTTGTTGCTGCCCAGCATTTCAGTGCCATACAGTGCAATAGGACGGATGGTTGTCTTGTAAATATAGCTATGCTGGAGCTGATCCTGGTGAATTAGGTAGGTTTAGGTGTAAATGAATCCAATTACATCTCTGTTTAGTGTTGTAAAGCTCCATTATGTCTGATTTGTTTCTCAGGGCATCTGCTTAATTGTTTTTTTCTGATTAATCCAGAGAATCTTGACACTAGAAAACAACTGATGTTTATGTTGCATACCTACATCATGCTTTCATACAATACATAAAGTAGAGCACACTTTCTTCCCTTGAAGAATTGTGGCATACTGCTAATGGTTAGAATATGAATGACCACAAATGGATATATGGTTTTCATCATTTAGCATTCATATGCATTCATACTATGCAAAAAGAGAAGCAGACACACACTGGAAGACAATCCTTGGTAAGGGACTATTTAAGACAATAAATTTTCCTTCCTTGAAATGGCAGAAGCCTGGAAGTAATATGTTTTCTTATTCTTGTATTTGCAGAAACATGACAGATGATAGATGAAGGTGAGACACACTGTACCTTAGAAATAAGGCCTGATAGGTGAGTCTAACATAAACAGTCAGAAGAAAAAGTCTACTCTGAGCTTCCAAATCAAGGCTGAAGCTTAATATGTGGATTTCAGTGAATAGCATATGGTGCTGGCACTGGGACATCTGCCACACTATCACAAATCATTACATATTTGCTAGATTGATTCTTCACACACGTGCCTTGTTGGTCAATGGAGTAAATGAATGCTAAATGAAGTGAATTCTGGCTCTTAACAAAATCCAAAGGATAATAGTTAGGCAGCAGGCAGTAGTTAGGCTAGAGATCTCCAAACTTGGCAACTTTAACACTTGTGGACTTCAACTCCCAGAATTCAACTCCCAGAATTCTGGGAGTTGAAGTCCACAAGTCTTAAAGTTGCCAAATTTGGGGACCCCTGAGTTAGGCAGTAGTTAGAATTCTGGCTGGGGAATTTGATATTTTGATTTTGATTTGTCAATCGCTTACAAGATAATAGGTATAAGTACTTATGACTATTGCAGCATCCTCATGGTCACGTGATTTACATTTGTATGCTTGCAAACTGGCTCATATTTATGAAGGTTGCAGTGACCAGGGATCATGTGTTTATCTTCTGTGTGTCAGCTTTGAAAGCCATATTGAGATCAGGTGCTCCCACGCTGCCACATCTGAGTCTGGGGAAAGTGGTAGGGGGGAATATATTGGAGTATATCTAGTTAGACATAATAACATTCTTTTTCTGACTCAAAGTCAGGTTGTGTTGTGCATAAGTGAGAGGAAGTCTTAACTGGGGACGGATGGTGATTGGGCCATGTGATGGATGATGGATTCAGGGGATGGATTTTGTAGTTTTTACTTATTGTAAGGAAGCCTGGAACTTTCAGATTTGGGATTGCACAGTTGTGCCAGTTACTATCCAAATAAAAAGGAACCTTTGAGATATGTCTATCTCGGAGTTATTGGGTGGAATGGAGTGTTGCTGGAACGCAGACACTGTGACCTTCTGACAAGCAAAGTCAACAGGGAAATCAGATTCACTTAACAACCGTGTTACTAATTTAATAACTGCAATGATTCACTTAACAAATGTGGCAAAAAAGTTGTAAAATGGGGCAAAGCTCACTTAACAAATTTCTCATTTTAAGAACATAAATTCTGAGCTCAATTGTGGTCATATGTTGAGGACCGACTACCTGTATTTGAATTATGTACTCACTAGGAATCAGTTCCCAAAATATAAATCAGGTAGGTTTTGTGTTATATATTCTCCCCTAACCAGCTTTAGATCCCGACTGGAGCCTTGCAAGTTGGAAGATTTCATACAGTACCTTTGTTTTTCTGACAGTACAAAGAAATCCAGAGAGAATAATTTTCTGGCAAAGCCAATGTGCAATCTGTACTATGCGAAATCCAAATAAACTTCCAAACCTCACCTTAGGCACAAAGTCGGAAACTCATAAAAAGTTTCTCCTGGCAGCTTCCTTTTTTAATTGTTTTGGGTACCTTTTCTGCATTTATGTCAGCTGGTAACCTGATGGCCATTCTCTTCTAAAAGTATTGACTTTTATGAACTTCTGATTTTAAACAGTTAAACAAGATGGGAGACTACTAGAAAAATTCAAGGTATGTAGATCACATTGGGAAGGTTAAAAAAAACAACTCAAAGACAAAGTTGGAAACCATTTCTTGTACTGTCACTTCGAAATAAACATGTTTATCAAATCAGGAGTTCAGTCCATCCCAAAACAAAATATACTTTTATTTAACCCAGATTAATATTCAACGTTATAATTGCTTATTAACAAAACATTCCTTCCTTTTCATCGAATGAAAAAAAGGTCTTTTTAAGAAAGAGGATGGGAGGGGTTGGTGGAAGGGAGCATGTGGTAAGTTTGGCTGATGATTCATGTTTTGAATATCCCATCTTTTCCAAAGAAAACATTTTGTATCAGTTAACTTCGGCTGGATTACAATAAAGAGCCAGGGAAAGTGAGATGAATTTGCTAATTAGATTATTTAAGATATGCTATTCAGGACTCCATGTGGTCTGAATCAAGGCCATCTCAAGAGACATCACTTTTATTTTTGGACTGAAGAAGCTTCTTGGATGAGAAGCGAAACAACTTCAAAGAAAAAACAGAAAGTCCAGTTGCCTCCTCAAAAAAGCACCTTTGGGACAACCATATCCTGGATGACTTAGAATCTCCCTAAACTTTTGGTTATTTATTTCTGGCTGGACCCTGAAGAGCTGTTAGCAATAGCTTAGTGGTGATGGTGGTAGCAATAGGAATGGTAAGAAAAAGTGATTTTCATATCAACTTCCTTATAGACATAGAAATTTAATGGCACAAGAAGACAACAGCTACCACAACAAATCAGAGTGATTTATATTACTAGTTAGGCAGACTTGATTTAATTATTTACACCACAATTAATTCATTAGTCAGGAAGATTCTATGAGTATTTCTAGCAAAAGCGCGCTCTTGTTTGGTACTTCTTGAATACATATTGTTCCTCTGAGAGCAATGTAATTAATATTGGTACATACCATATAAAGCAATTATTTACAAATTAATTTTCAGGTAAAAATGGAATGATAAACTTAATACTAAGCAAGAAGATACATTATTTTTCTGCCCTATAACAAATAAATCCTGTTATCTCCAGCTTTATCAGAACAATTTATCCAAAAAATAAGTGGGAAGGTTATTCCCAAAGGGTTGAAAGTGACCTTGAAGGTCTTATAATCAAACTTCCTGCCCCAAACAGGAGTCTTTATAACATGCTGGACAAGGGGTTGTCCAATATTTTCTTGAAAATCTTCAACTCACGATTTTGGGATCAACTGAAGCATGAAGGGAAAAATAGCAGTATCATTTACATACTGCTCCATAGTATTTGATAGCATTCTCTAAGCAATTTACAATGTCACCATATTGCCTCCAAGAATCTGGGTATTCATTTTATTGACCATGAAAGGATGGAAGGCTGAATCAACCTCAATCTCCATCAGCATTGAACTCCAGACTGTGGGCAGAGTAAGCTTGCAATATTGCATTCTAACCACTGCACCATCAGGGCTTAGAGTTATGTCACTGCATGTAGCTTCTTACGGGAAATATAATTTAACACAAGAATGATGTCCCACAGAGGACATTGTAGAGACTCCCCTTTGTTGTTGCATTGAATGAAACAGAACATTCATCTTGCGGAATGTTCTTCAACGTTCCCCCAACTCTCAACTGAACTGGGTTTATAGTTCTAATCCAGACATTTTGGTCATCATCCTAGATCTCCTTCTGATCCCATCCCACCCCTTCCCTTCCCATCCCAGGAATTTGCAAGCAATCCTAATATCTGTCCTAAAATCATGTTTGAAAAGGACACCTAACTATAATCCTGATCGCATACAGAAACAGTTGTAATAGCATTAGATGGCTCCATCCTCCAAAAGTAAATGTGAATAAAGTCAGATATAGATAAATGGATGATAGATACAGTATATTGGCTGGATAATTCTGGAAACTGAAGTCCAAGGTTGAGGAACACTGAGATAGAAAATGAATAGGTAGCAGTAGAAAAGGTAGCATGGGAGAAATATTAGTTAAGATATCTTACAATAATAACACACTTCAGAAGTTTATTAAGGTGCACAGTATTTTATTTACTTATTCAATTTATAGGGATGCTCATTTCAATAAATGATTCTGGGCAGTGAACAGTCTTAAAATAAATTAAAACAATTTCTCATCAGAAATACAAAATCTAAAGTACACAGCAACTGAGGAAGATGTCAGACTCAACATCATAGTCAAGGCTCCAGTCCTGACATATTACCATTATTATAGTATTGTCATTATTATATATGCAATACAAATGATTGAATAAGAACCAGTCTGTAACAGCGAAATGCAATGCAATAGAGATATGCCAGCATCATTTATTAATTTTTTTTATACCACCCTCTCCCCCAAAAAGCTTCAGTTCACAGGAGAGGGGAAAAAGGCCCAAAATACCTGTTTTGTTGGAAAGGCGGAATGATATCATTTTGTCAGAAATATTGCAGACGTTCCTGACTGATGCAATGCAGCTGTAGTTGGCGTAGTCCTGAGGTCGAAGATTCTTCAACTTCAGAATCTTGGTTTCACCCTGCATCCAGCAGAAGAAACATTTATCACAGGGCCAAGATCACTATTATAATTAAAAGAAAGAACATGCAGGATAATACAGGAGGGCGATCTATTCTAAAGGATAGTTGTGTTGAAACTTTCTCCAATTTAGCAGATGTTTTCCAGATGTGTTGAAACTGCTACTCAAGGCATCTCTCACTGACAAGGGAATGGAAGGCCAACATATCTGGTGGGACTCAAGCTTTGGGACAATTACTTACTGCAGTGTTTTTCAAACTTGGCAACTTTTAAGATGGACTTCAACTCCCACACTTCCCCAGTGGTGGTATTCAAATTATTTTACTGCTGGATGTGGCTTGATAGGCATGGTATGGCTTGGTGGGCATGGCAGGGGAAGGATACTGTAAAATCCCCTTTCCCTCCCTACCCCAATTTCCACTACCGTTTTTTCCAGAACTGGTCAGAACCAGGTGAATATCACCTCTGCACTTCCCCATTATGACTTGGGAATTCTGAAAGTTGAAGTTCACACATCTTAAAAGTTGAAAAACACTGCCTTAAATTCTCCAATCAAAATATTTATTGGCTCGATTGTTTTATTTCCAAGCAGAGATTATTTTTCTTGCTTGCTCTAACTGAAGTTTTGGGAAAGGTAGTCTACTCAAAGGGACATCAGTACTGCAAATGTCCTTCCTTTCCTTATTAAGTCCCTTTTCCTATTTCAATTTCCCTTCCTTAGAAAATGTTGCATTGAATAAGAGAGAGAAGGTTACTGGATTCAAACAAGGCAGTGGAATTTAACATCACATTAAATAATGATTTGCTTTTATTATGGCTTTTTAGCCAAATCATAATATTTTGTTTCACACCTGAGCCTAAACCAGAAATAATTATTTAGAAACAATGACTCAATGTTTAATCCAAAAGAAAACAAATCACTTAAACAACCCAAAGGAAACAAACCACTCAGTATCTTAATGGAATATAGCTTAGCTTCCCTCTTGGATGTCTTATACTTTATAGCAGTTTTTGAGACATTTGTTATAGCATAGGTAATAAGAAGGTAATAAGAAATCATTGTACATTAAAACTAAACTGGAAACACTTGTAAGGCTGTGCAAACCTCACACAAGAGAAACCATGCTTTATACTTGTAATATTTGAAGTTAGGTAGCAGTTATTTACATTTCCAGAATCCTTGCCCTGAGAAATTCTAGTTCCCAATGTATCTGCTACAGTTAAGACTTATGGGTATTGATTTCAAAGTTCCCAGGGCCAGAAATCACCTTTCTTCAGTGTAATTGTCAGCCTTCTTGCCAACCAATAGGGAATGTAGAAGCCTTTCAGGCCATGATACCAGGACACTGCTTCTGCTAAGCCAGTTTTACAGCAAGTATTTGGAAAAACAAAAATACAACTACAATATTTAAAATGTGGGCCACAGGTTCAGCAGAATCAAGTCAAACTTTTAATCTTTTTTTAAATGCATGAATGGACTAGATGCTTCTTAATTTAGGGCAGAAGATTGAGCAACATACATACATACATACATACATACATACATACATACATGCATACGTGTGTGTGTATACACACACATCTCTATCTATCTATCTATCTATCTATCTATCTATCTATCTATCTATCT